CGTCTAAACTTCACAAATAATACACGATGGTCTTGAAGTATAGATTCTAGGTACTGACTTTGTTTATCATCTTAATAACGTGTTATGGTATTCTTTTATTAGCCTTTGTAATTTATGACTCGAGCTGTTTAGCCTATTTTTGGCAGTGCTCATTTGACATGACTCGGTACTTGGACATCCCGTCATTGTGTTAATTGTGCTGTGGTATTCTTTTCTTATGTTTTTGTTAAGGCGCATTGTTATATGCCTTTTTGTTTGTGTAAATATAAAAAAGAAGATGTGGTATGACTGCCAATGAGACAACTCTCCACATGAGACTAAATGACACAGAAATTAACAACTATAGGTCACCGTACGGCCTTCAACAATGAGCAAAGCCCCATACCGCACAGTCAGCTATAAAAGGCCCCGAAATGACAATGTAAAGCAATTCAAACGAGAAAACTAACGGCCTAATTTATGTACAAAAATGAAGGAAACAAATATGTAACACATAAACAAACGATAACCACTGAATTACAGGCTCTTGATTTGGGACAGTCACATACATCGTTTGTAAATTTTGCTTCTATAGAAAGAACAATTTGTCCTTCTGCCATTTTGACAACATAATCATAAATTTACTTTCTGAAATACAGAGTGAGTACATACTTAACATAGTTTCACTAAAAAGAACATATCATATGACTTACAAACTTTCCCAGGTGGTTTTTGAAGAATAAATTAATTCAGGCTACCGAACCATTAGTTATTTTCATTGCAAGATGTTGTGTTTTTGTCCACTTATTGTCACATGCATCTCAATGATATCCTACAAATTGCCCGAAACTGAACAGGCAATTTGTTGAATTTTGTTTCAAAATTTCAGTCATTTTACAAATTGCCTAAATTTAGAAAATGCCTGTAACATATACAAGGCATACAAGGTCATGGCGTTTCGTATATCAGGGGCGAATCCGGGATTTAGGTTTAAAGGGGTGGGGGGTTTGGGGCGCAAACTTAAATTTTCGCCGAGCTCCGAATTTTTTTAGGTAAAATTATCGAAATATTCTTTATTAAGCTGAGGACGACCCATGCTTTGCAAATTTTTTTTGGGGGGTGGGGGAGGGGGCAACCGCCCGCCCCCGTATGAATCCGCCCCTGCATACTGTTTATTACTAAATTCTTTGGTTGTGTACTGACTGATACTTTAGTCTGGGAGAACAAGATTTATTTCAATGTTAGTTTTAATTGGCTTTGAACAAACTTTTAGTATAAACTCCAATACTCTTATTTCGGTGCTTTGTCTCTATTGCCTTGATGTTATAGTTGTTTCTTTTGAGTTAATCTAACTGCAACTGGCCGGATTTTTACAGTTTGTTCTTATTTTGTACTGTTACACCACTATCCCAGTTTTTAAGGAAGAGTTGAGCGCTCACAGATATGTGCTTGTCCCAAATCAGTTGCCTGTATTTGTCACTGGACGTTAAAAATAAGCAACCAACAATCAATCAATTTAAACTCGTGATTATTTAAGGGGAAAATCAATTAGTATTTTTTTTTGGGGGGGGGGGGGGGGGGCGATGGGTGGAAGACAGGAGGATTTCGAAAATGAATCTGGTGGCCTAGCAAGACCTGAAATAATAGGCATGATAAGCAATAGATTAAAATGAATAATAAATCTGCAAAAAATCCTCCTGCCCCCTTTCCCTACCCATGATTTATCGAACTTATCATCCCTACTAAGGCTGCCATGCCATAAAAACGTTTATCACAAAGCACACATTCTATTATAGCTGCATTCATAAATTTATTAATGTCATTTAGACTAAACGACGCCATGTTTGTTATGTGCCTCTGCCGTCTAAACTACCTATTTAAAAGGAAGAGGTAGAAGAGAGCCAGAAGATCTTCCCAATGCAAAAAAAACAACAGAAATTGACCTCTCCTGGTTCACTACCGAAAACAAAAAAAACACGCCCCAGGATTATAATTTAATATGCCAGTTATGTCCCCTTTGTGAAACCAAACGCAGTAACATGGACAGTTTTGATTGGATTTGAAATATTTGACACCTTCCCAGAAGTAACGAGTTTATATACGCGTATAGCACAAAGAATTTACATTTATTATACGCGTTTACACAAAAAAAATCATTTTCAGCAGTAACATGTATATATACGCGTATATTTTAACAATAAACGCGTATAAAACGACAATATACGCGTTTAAAACAACAATATACGCGTATATGTAGGTAATACGTATATAATCGCGCAAATGACACGAACGGCCACTCATAGTATGAGAAGTCAATAGAAGTATAACATTTATATAAAAAATATTGAAACTATACGCAGTCGCATATTTCTGTTTTGTTTTGATAGTACAAATATAAAAATGTATTGTGCAATGAAACATGATGATTTAAGTGATTTTTTTTTATAGAGTATTGCCAGTATTACAGGTATAAATGGGTACAAATAGAACTGGGCATGCCGAAATATACCTTTATTGGACTAACTGGGCATGCATAATTCTACAAGTTTTATTTGTGCCGAATGCCATAAGCATAATCCTGCATAATTCCTATTACATGCTCAATATCAATGAAATATTTTTGTAATTTTTGAGATGTCAAGATATTTGTTTAATTTGTACTTTAATATTTTTTATTAAACCTCAGGGGCCTCATGATTTAACGATTTTAACTCCTGCACCAGGGAAAATACCACACTTTGTACACGTTAGAGTACTATTTTAACAACTCCTTGAATGTTCTGTGGGTGCCTTCAGTGTTGCAAGGCAAAATGTGTCACTCTTAACAACATGTCCTTATTGTCCATTTGCAGTCGAAACTCTCCGCCCTTGATCCCAATCAACTGTTTTGTAGAGCCCATGTCATTTTTGTCGTTGGGTGTATGTCTCATTGACGTATTGCCCACGTCCCCTTAATTGAAATGAAAAGCTAGTGAAAGAAGTACGGGAAATTACCCTTGAAATTGTTTCATTCACTTGGGCAAAATTGGAAAGTTAATAATAACATATTATCTTTATTGTCGTAAAGCATATAAAGAAAGCTTGTGACAAAAAAATACAAAAACAAAAACAACATATATACAACAAATCTTATAAATGTTGTTAATGGAATATGCCTTAGAACTCGAATACTAACAAATAAGTAGCAAAGAGTAAAAATGATAATATTAAATATATTTCAGTTGCAATACGCAGCGTTGGAAACATAATTAATACAAATAGTAAACTAATCCACGTGCGTGAACTATTGTATATTATATTTAGATTGACTATAGAAATTTAATAACAATTGAATTAAACATATCTTCTGAAAGAAAGAAAAAAGTAATCACTATGACCATAAAGTGAGAATTTCCATTTAAATTCGGCGATCCAGTAAATGCACATTAAAACCATGACTGATTTAAACATATAAACAATGGTGTTTTGAAGCTATTTCAATAAGTAAAACAGAGAACTAAGGTAAATATATTTATTGTTTATCCTCAGTACTTTTAAGAAACTGACAGGACATCAGAAAACATACTTAAAGGAAACTTTTTTCTTAAGATTTTGGCCTTTCCATTTACATTATAAATAAATGGAGATGTGAGGAATACGTCATTCAGACAGCAAGACAACGACACAAATCTAAAAAAAACAAAAAACATCGAAAGGCCAACATACAGTCTTCAACAAAGAAAATGTATTTACATGGTATGACACCGAAATGCAATTGTTGATAAAGAAGTTAGTCTACTCACTGCTCTGGCTCTGATATTTATAAGATTGAGTCTTGTTCGATGAGCATTTGACCTGAAATGTTAACCGAGGCGGGATAGCAAACTGTTACTGCTTTTCCATGTTTATTAAACGTAACAGGTGATAGGGCAATCATTTAGTTCAGTTTGTTTCAGCATTCAGAAATTAGACTGATGGGCACCGGGGCATCTGTTGGGGAAAATTTACCAAAAGACAAGAAAACTGGAACAAACTTAAGGGAACCAGAAGAGGAAGACGTAAGTTAACTATGATTTGGTTTGGTGGGACTCAAGTGTCCCGTATTGTAAAAAAGTGAAAATATGTCAGTCGTAGAAATTGAAATCAATATATTTCCTTTGATCGTTGAATTTATACTGATTAAACCAGGTCATTGTTGCTGTAAACCCATTTCATATGAATTATTTGTCTTAACAAAAACTGGCACTTTAGAAACGACAATGAAAGCTTTAAGCCTGTATTTGTATGAATACAAACTGATGACACATATTTACATTAAATTTGCCCTTTTTTCCACTCCAAATTTATCTAAAACAATTTTCGTCTATAACCAGGAGATGCAAAACAGGATGGATTTGCTTTCCAAAAGTTTGTAAATTCCTGTTTTGTGAGAGTTCGTATTCACGGTTTATGAGAAAATATTAATCAGTTATGACGCAATGTGTTATAAACCATATATGAGGGTCTGGATGGGGATCCTTCATTTCTATATTCTTTATTTTTTTATGTCATTTTTCTCCATTCTTTATACTTTTTGCCCATTATTCTCTATTCTTTATATTTTAGCACCTCATTATTCTCTTTTCTTTATTATTTTGGTCCATTTTTCTCTATTCTTTATATTTTTTGTCCATTATTCCCTATTCTGTAAACCCCAATCCATACCCTTATATATTGATTTGCTCCCGTTTACTGATGTCCACCAAAACGTTTACCTTTTATGCTGTTGAATGGACATTTTAAGAACACACTGATTATATAAACCGAGCTTTCCGTAAAAATAGGGTCCTATCGTTTAAGGAAAATCTGGTGATCAAATTCGTAATTTTTGATAATTTGAAAATTTCCATCGCATTTACAGCTGGTCTTTGAGTCATTTCGTTTTATGGTTCATTTTTTTTTGTCGTGTTTCGTTCGTATTTATATAAAATTTCGCAACAAACTAATAGTACAATACTCTCAGACATCTATTTAAAAAAGTTTCAAATCGAGCGTATTTAGCGGAAATTAGATTACATTTTGTTGATGACGTTGCGCTGTCTGCAAAACCGAACATTTCACAATGGAGCTGCTTCTCTTTGCATTTTCTGTATTGTATTTGTGTGTAGCTGCCCAAGAATGCCAAATAAACAACATCCAGGATGAAATTTCAAGCTTAAAGACAGAATTATTAGGATTATCTTTTGATATAGATGATTTGAAAATCAAAAAAGTTGAACCAGGTAAGACACATTTTTTTCTCTCTCTAAGTAACTTTTTGAAATTCTCTAAATAAAAACAGAAACTATTGTATACTTATTTAGTTCAAATTAATAGACAGAAAACATGTTGAAAAATCTAATCAATTTTTGTCTTTTTTGTGAGTGGATAGGGATAGGTAACAATAAATGTAATAATTGGAAAATTGCAGTTCACTTTTTGGTCTATAATAATGAGAGTGCTATATACACAACCTATTGTGACAACTTTTCAGTTCACTTTTACTTTTACTTTTTAAATATTATTAAACTATCATTTTTAAAAGAACGATCAGAAAAAATCAATTTAAAAAGTACCTCAATAGATAATGAATTATAATATAAATGCTAAAAATAAGGATAAAACTGATTAGAATTACAAAATTACTGAGTTATGTAATTTATAAACTTCAGTCAAAATCAATCAGCAAATTTGTATTTTGATATATGTGTTACATTACAATATTTGCAATATCAAATTTACAATTAAAATGTATACAAGTATAAAACACATTTTTATTCACACAACACAAAGGGATAATTCAAGATGCCTTCATGGTCAATTAAAACAGTCTTGTAATTCACACTGTATCTTGATAGTAACAAAATTCTCAAATATATACAGAGTAATTGGATAATCTCGTTTGTCGAAGAAAATTGCAACCGACCGAGAAATACATTTGAACTGCATTATGAAAAAAATTCTTTTCCAGTTCACAGAAGAGCAAAAAGAGAAGCAGCTTTATTGGGAGCTCATGGTATGGTTGGACCTCCTGGACGACCAGGCCCTACTGGTACGTCTTCGAACATAATTATATCGATTTAGAATTACCTTATACTATATCATACTAATCATACACGATGAATGAACACTATCTACAGTTCATGTCATACTAATCATTCACGATGAATGATCACTATCTACAGTTCATGTCATACTAATCATACACGATGAATGATCACTATCTACAGTTCATGTCATACTAATCATACACGATGAATGAACACTATCTACAGTTCATGTCATACTAATCATACACGATGAATGATCACTATCTACAGTTCATGTCATACTAATCATACACGATGAATGATCACTATCTACAGTTCATGTCATACTAATCATACACGATGAATGATCACTATCTACAGTTCGTGTCTCATACTAATCATACACGACGAATGAACACTATCTACAGTTCATGTCATACTAATTATACACGACGAATGAACACTATCTACAGTTCATGTCATACTAATCATACACAACGAATGAACACTATCTACAGTTCATGTCATACTAATTATACACGACGAATGAACACTATCTACAGTTCATGTCATACTAATCATACACGATGAATGAACACTATCTACAGTTCATGTCATACTAATCATTCACGATGAATGATCACTATCTACAGTTCATGTCATACTAATCATACACGATGAATGATCACTATCTACAGTTCATGTCATACTAATCATACACGATGAATGAACACTATCTACAGTTCATGTCATACTTATCATACACGTCGAATGATCACTATCTACAGTTCATGTCATACTAATCATACATGATGAATGAACACTATCTACAGTTCATGTCATACTAATCATACACGACGAATGAACACTATCTACAGTTCATGTCATACTAATCATACACGACGAATGAACACTATCTACAGTTCATGTCATACTAATCATACACGACGAATGATCGCTATCTACAGTTCATGTCATACTAATCATACACGATGAATGATCACTATCTACAGTTCATGTCATACTAATCATACACGACGAATGAACACTATATACAGTTAATGTCATACTAATCATACACGATGAATGAACACTATCTACAGTTCATGTCACACTTATCATACACGATGAATGAACACTATGTCATACTAATCATACACGATGAATGAACACTATCTACAGTTCATGTCATACTAATCATACACGATGAATGAACACTATCTACAGTTCATGTCATACTAATCATACACGATGAATGAACACTATCTACAGTTCATGTCATACTAATCATACACGATGAATGAACACTATCTACAGTTCATGTCATACTAATCATACACGACGAATGAACACTATCTACAGTTCATGGCATACTAATTATACACGACGAATGAACACTATCTACAGTTCATGGCATACTAATCATACACGATGAATGAACACTATCTACAGTTCATGTCATACTAATCATACACGATGAATGAACACTATCTACAGTTCATGGCATACTAATCATACACGATGAATGAACACTATCTACAGTTCATGTCATACTAATCATTCACGATGAATGATCACTATCTACAGTTCATGTCATACTAATCATTCACGATGAATGAACACTATCTACAGTTCATGTCATACTAATCAAACATACACGATGAATGAACACTATCAACAGTTCATGGCATGAACACATCTAAGACATGCGGCAACTATATAAGCAAATATTGAGATGTGATACGATTGTCCAATGAGATAAATATCCATTTAAGCCAAAGGACAAAGATGTGAATAAATACAGGTCACTGCAAGACCATTCAACAATTAGCTAAACCCAAATTGTATTTTTAGCTCTAAACCGCTCTGGGATGACAAAAAAGCGAAACTAATCAATAGAGAAAGCCAATGACCTGATTTCTACTAAACTATGGGAGGCAACAACCAACTTAGTTCTCCTTCGATGTACCACTTTCTCTAAGGCACCGCCCATTAATCTTTTATGGAAAGAGGGAGGGAGCATCGGTGTTTTCTCGACTCTTATTTATTTTTTTCCGTAAATTTTCAATAGGAATACTTTTTTCACTTCCCTTCTGAAACTATTTTTTTTCAGAAATTTAGAATCCAACAGTATATTTTAAATAGATGAATGGTCAGTGCCCAAATAACGAACTGTCATATACTATTAAACATAGAGTTTCAAAGTAATTAATTTTCCACCAAGTTTTTCTTTGGTATTGAAATTTTAAAATTCTTTGTTAAATGAAGGAGTTACTGTGTTTTTTTAACTTTTATTGCATTTATTCTAAAATGCCTACAAATTAAATATACGGAGCAAGAAATCCTTGACCGTTAAAGGCATACGATACAATTACAGGGGAGGTAATGACGTTGCTATCGTAAAATGTTATTTTCGCGACGTCAAACTTTGACATATGGAGAAAAGATGCATTTTTCGACTAATTTTGATCATTCAGACTGGTTTAACTTGAAAACGAGTTCATTTACCCCTCTTTTTTAAAATGACATTATGTTTGATTCCGTATGAAGATTATTTGTACCAATTTTTATGAAAAAGTCACCTAAAATCATGAAACTTTGATAAAAATTAATTAAAAGAATATTACACAAATTTAGGGCATACTTATGTAAAGACGATTTTCCAAATGTTTTTACAGAAATCCGCTTTTGTTTATCTTTTGAAACAAAAAAGTAAGGTATGTCTATCTAAAGAATAGGAATGTCCAAATAACTGAAATTTTGAGTAAATGTCTAAAATTTCGACCCTATTTATCTCTTAAAGTAGCTCATGAAGGTATATTTGTTATTACATATTTGAATTGACTAGGTGAAAAATAGCTTGTATGCAAATTTTCGTAAAAATATCACCGTGGGATCAAAACTGTATCGTATGCCCTTAAAAGCAGTCAGATTATTTTTTTTTCATGTTTGTGATTTTAGGGCGTCCTGGAGCCCCTGGTGCAACGGGAATTAATGGACCTCCCGGTACTGAAGGATTAAGAGGGAAGAGAGGACTGAAAGGCGATAAAGGTCATCGTGGCGATATAGGACTGAAAGGTACAAAAGGAGAAGATGGCCCACAAGGACAACATGGTTCACCTGGCCACCAAGGTCATAGAGCTCCAGATGGTCGTGAGGGGCCAACGGGACCAAAAGGACACAAAGGACAGGATGGTTACCGAGGACAAAAAGGGAAGTCAGGACGAAAAGCTGTGAAAGGAGAGAAGGGAAGTCCAGGACTTCGAGGTAATGATGGGCTGTTCGGACTGCACGGTGATCAGGGCCGAAAAGGAGATAAGGGAATGCCTGGACCAATAGGAAAACAAGGAAAACGTGGCGTTCCAGGATTGCCCGGATTTTGGGGTTTTATAGGAAAAAAAGGAGACCCTGGACTTCCAGGACAACAAGGAACAAGAGGACAGAAAGGCGAACTTGGAATTGTTGGCGAACCAGGACCTCGCGGGCCAATAGGTGGAGATATTATGTAAAATGACAAAAACTCCTGGACTTTTTATGGTTATTTTTAAATTTTCTTAAAAAGTGAAGTTGTTTCATATCATAACGGATATTTGATCATTTTGAATGTAGCTTTTTGTTTTTTGTTTAACATCACTTTATACATATCAAAATAAGATAAATACATAAGATTAAATTTTAGTCTCACTTTTCTTAGCCATAGTTATAGCATAGACCTACAATGTGAATCATGTGGAAACAATCTATTTAGTATTGCCAATATTATATGAAATAGATGCGATAATGGGTATTTGCACCAGAGAACACTGATATAACATGATAGTTATATAAGAAGCAACGGAAAGAAACTGCTCAACATTCCCAAAAGTTTTAGAAAGATTCAATGTTGAAAAAACTTCTATACCTCACTGCCGGATCAATTGACCCTGTATAGCCATGTCACTTTAAGAGAAGAATAACTTTCCGATTATGAATTATGTAACTGTACTAAAATTGAGCTTACAGCTTCAACATCAAAAATGAATTTGAGCGTTCTGCTATGGTTTTTCGTTAGTTTTTATGATCCCAAATAGTTGACATGCCATATTTATTTTCTCGAGAACACCTGATTCCGTATGAAATATTATTTTATTATGTCTATAGCTACGACTCATGAAAGTCTACCGGATGATCCAACATATAAACGGGGCCTCGGTGGCCGAGTGGTCTAAGTAGTTACTCGACTCCAATCTTAATTGACTAGGATTGTCAGTTTTCCTATCGAAGGTTGATGGTTTTCTCCGGACACTCCGGCTTCCTCCACCAATAAAAACTGGCCGCCACAAAATAACCCAAAAGCGGTGCTTAAATGTGGCGTTAAAACACCAAAAATCAAATCAAATCCACCATATAAACTATACACACTATATATAGGAGTCGAGCGGATGATCCAACATATAAACTATACACACTATATATAGGAGTCGAGCGGATGATCCAACATATAAACTATACACACTATATATAGGAGTCGAGCGTATCATTCGACATAAAAACTATACACACTTTATATAGGAGTCGAGCGGATCATCCAACATATAAACTATACACACTATATATAGGAGTCGAGCGGATCATCCAACATATAAACTATACACACTATATATAGGAGTCGAGCGGATCATCAAACATATAAACTATACACACTATATATAGGAGTCAAGCGGATCACCCAACATATAAAATATACACACTATATATAGGTGTCAAGCGGATGAGCCAACATATAAACTATACACACTATATATAGGAATCGAGCGAATGATCCGAATCATGCATACAGGTATGGTGACATGTTTCCTCAGGACTGTTACATTGTGAACTAGCACGCTACAGACCCGTAAGGTCTAGTACATCATAATCATTTTACATCAGCACGTTCTCGTCCTTATATACATGTAATATTTGCAACTGAACGTTAACAACCAATTCATCCATCCTTCTGTATATTGAACTTGTAAGTTATCTAAATACGGCAAATATTTTGTAAATTGAGTACATAATTAGAATACAATATTGTTCCTAAAGGGTAGTATGTTATCGAAGACAAACGATCGGCTTTCGATTATTGTTGAAGACTATAAGTTGACCTGTAGATGTCTTTTAGCTCCACTCTCCGTTTTTCGTCTTTAGGTTTTTCCTATTTGTGTTTTTTATAGTAAGAAAGACAGCAGTGTCGGTTGCAACTGCAAATCTGGCATTGAAAATTTATGAAAAAAAAATGAATATCTCAATTATACATTTCAATTCAACCATGATGTTAGTTAATTTTTGTTGTTGGGTTGCTATCAATCGCGGTTATTCCACATTATATTTCTTTCACTGTTACTGTTAGTGAAAAACACAAAACGGTGAATGGCTGCACAAATTTCATAAAAGTATTAGAGTTTGATTTCAAATCACAATCAAGTAGGTCGATGTTGCTTTTTTCAGAGAACATTTTCCGAAAACTTGAATAAGGAATGCTCAGAATTCTTTGAAAATTAATAAAATATATCAACTTAAAATTTATCAAAAGTAGTATTCCCCTGCCAGACATTCCTTTGTCTGTCCTAGGTCAGTATTACCCGACCAGGCATTCCTTTGTCTGTCCTAGGTCAGTATTACTCTGCCAGACACTCCTTTGCCTGTCCAAGGTCAATATTACCCTGTCAGACATTCATTTGCATGTCCCAAGTCAGTAATACCCTGCCAGATATTCCTTTGCCTGTCCCAAGTCAGTATTACACTGCCAGACATTCCTTTGTCTGTTCCAGGTTAGTATTACCCCGCCAGACATTCCTTTGCCTGTCCCAAGTTAGTTTTACCCTGCCAGACATTTCTTTGCCTGGCCCAGGTCAGTATGACCTTGCGAGACATTCTTTTGCCTGTCCCAGGTCAGTATTACCCTGCCAGACATTCCTTTGCCTGTCCCAAGTAGTATTACCCTACCAGGCATGCCTTTGTCTGTCCAAGGTCAGAATTACCCTGCCAGACATTCCTTTGTCTGTCCCAGGCCAGAATTACCATGATAGACAGTCCTTTGCCTGTCCCAAGTAGTATTACCCTGCCAGGCATGCCTTTGCCTGTCCCAGGTCAGTATTACCCTGCCAGACATTCCTTTGCCTGTCCCAAGTCAGAATTACCCTGCCAGACATTCCTTTGTCTGTCCCAAGTCAGAATTACCCTGCTAGACATTCCTTTGCCTGTCCCAAGTAGTACCGATATTATCCTACTAGGCATGCCTTTGTCTGTCCAAGGTCAGTATTATCCTGCCAGACATTCTTTTGTCTTTCCCAAGTCTGTATTACCCTACCAGACATTCCTTTATCTTTCCCAAGTCTGTATTACCCTGCCAGACATTCCTTTGCCTGTCCCAAGTAGTATTACCCTGCCAGACATTCCTTTGCATGTCCCAAGTGTGTATTACCCTTCCAGACATTCCTTTGTCTTTCCCAAGTCTGTATTACCCTACCAGACATTCCTTTATCTTTCCCAAGTCTGTATTACCCTGTCAGACATTCCTTTGCCTGTCCCAAGTAGTATTACCCTGCCAGATATTCCTTTGCCTGACTCAAGTAGTATTACCCTGCCAGAAATTCCTTTATCTTTTCCAAGTCTGTATTACCCTGTCAGACATGCCTTTGCCTCTCCAAGGTCAGTATTACCCTGTCAATCATTCCTTTGCCTCTCCAAGGTCAGTATTACCCTGTCAAACATTCCTTTGCCTGTCCCAGGTCAGTATTACCCTGCCAGACATTCCTTTGCCTGTCCCAAGTAGTATTACCCTGCCAGACATTCCTTTGCCTGTCCCAAGTAGTATTATCCTGCCAGACATGCCTTTGCCTCTCCAAGGTCAGTATTACCCTGTCAGACATTCCTTTGCCTGTCCCAGGTCAGTATCACCCTGTCAGACATTCCTTTGCCTGTCCCAAGTAGTATTACCCTGCCAGATATTCCTTTGGCTGTCCCAAGTAGTATTACCCTGCCAGACATGGCTTTGCCTCTCCAAGGTCAGTATTACCCTGTCAGACATTCCTTTGCCTGTCCCAGGTCAGTATTACCCTGTCAGACATTCCTTTGCCTGTCCCAGGTCAGTATTACCCTGTCAGACATTCCTTTGCCTGTCCCAGGTCAGTATTACCCTGTCAGACATTCCTTTGCCTGTCCCAGGTCAGTATTACCCTGTCTGACATTCCTTTGCCTGTCCCAGGTCAGTATTACCCTGTCAGACATTTCTTTGCCTGTCCCAGGTCAGTATTACCCTGCCAGACATTCCTTTGCCTGTCCCAAGTAGTATTACCCTACCAGGCATGCCTTTGTCTGTCCAAGGTCAGAATTACCCTGCCAGACATTCCTTTGTCTGTCCCAGGCCAGAATTACCATGATAGACAGTCCTTTGCCTGTCCCAAGTAGTATTACCCTGCCAGGCATGCCTTTGCCTGTCCCAGGTCAGTATTACCCTGCCAGACATTCCTTTGCCTGTCCCAAGTCAGAATTACCCTGCCAGACATTCCTTTGTCTGTCCCAAGTCAGAATTACCCTGCTAGACATTCCTTTGCCTGTCCCAAGTAGTACCGATATTATCCTACTAGGCATGCCTTTGTCTGTCCAAGGTCAGTATTATCCTGCCAGACATTCTTTTGTCTTTCCCAAGTCTGTATTACCCTACCAGACATTCCTTTATCTTTCCCAAGTCTGTATTACCCTGCCAGACATTCCTTTGCCTGTCCCAAGTAGTATTACCCTGCCAGACATTCCTTTGCATGTCCCAAGTGTGTATTACCCTTCCAGACATTCCTTTGTCTTTCCCAAGTCTGTATTACCCTACCAGACATTCCTTTATCTTTCCCAAGTCTGTATTACCCTGTCAGACATTCCTTTGCCTGTCCCAAGTAGTATTACCCTGCCAGATATTCCTTTGCCTGACCCAAGTAGTATTACCCTGCCAGAAATTCCTTTATCTTTTCCAAGTCTGTATTACCCTGTCAGACATGCCTTTGCCTCTCCAAGGTCAGTATTACCCTGTCAATCATTCCTTTGCCTCTCCAAGGTCAGTATTACCCTGTCAAACATTCCTTTGCCTGTCCCAGGTCAGTATTACCCTGCCAGACATTCCTTTGCCTGTCCCAAGTAGTATTACCCTGCCAGACATTCCTTTGCCTGTCCCAAGTAGTATTATCCTGCCAGACATGCCTTTGCCTCTCCAAGGTCAGTATTACCCTGTCAGACATTCCTTTGCCTGTCCCAGGTCAGTATCACCCTGTCAGACATTCCTTTGCCTGTCCCAAGTAGTATTACCCTGCCAGATATTCCTTTGGCTGTCCCAAGTAGTATTACCCTGCCAGACATGGCTTTGCCTCTCCAAGGTCAGTATTACCCTGTCAGACATTCCTTTGCCTGTCCCAGGTCAGTATTACCCTGTCACACATTCCTTTGCCTGTCCCAGGTCAGTATTACCCTGTCAGACATTCCTTTGCCTGTCCCAGGTCAGTATTACCCTGTCAGACATTCCTTTGCCTGTCCCAGGTCAGTATTACCCTGTCTGACATTCCTTTGCCTGTCCCAGGTCAGTATTACCCTGTCAGACATTTCTTTGCCTGTCCCAGGTCAGTATTACCCTGCCAGACATTCCTTTGCCTGTCCCAAGTAGTATTACCCTA